GCACTGGGATAGCACCAGGATGGTGTAGGGATGGCACTGGGATGGCACTGGGATGACAGCGGGATGGTGTAGGGATGGCACCATCACGGCACTGGGATGGCACCAGGAGGGCTGAGATTTCAACCAACTCGGACCCAGGAGGTGGGAACAATTTTTCCCCTGGAAATCAGAAGCAGAGGCTCTGGGGCCAGCACGGCTCCACCGGTGCCCTCAGCGCTCCGGGCACCGGGATGGCACCGGCTGTGCCGCCTCACCTGTGCCATGAGCACGCCCTGCACGGCCCTGTCGTGCTCGAAGTCCTGCTCCACGTCCAGCACCAGGACAGGCGCGCGCTGCACATCCCCAAAGTGGATCCTGGGGGCGGACAGGAGGGGTTAAACCCCCCAGATAACAACCCCCAAATCAGGGGGTCCCCCCAGAGCCTGCTGGATGACAGGGATGGATTGGGACTCACTCCGTGGTCTTGTCCACCAGCCAGTGCTCATGCTGGGCATGGAGCTGTTCCAGGTACCCCAGCTGGATCCCCCCCTCCTCGCTCCGCGCCCGCCGCCGCAGCCGCTCCAGGCACGTCTGTGCCCGCCCGGGAAACAGGGATGTTAACAGGATAGAGGGATGTTAACAGGGTAGAGGGAGAGAGGAGGTTAATGGGAGAGATGGGAGGTTAAGGGGATCCAGGAAAACAGAAGGTTAACGGGAGACATGGGAGGTTAACAGGAGAAAGAAGGGATGTGGGCATCAGGTAAAGCAGTACCATGGGAGCGACCCCTGAAGATGCTCAGCCCTCCCTCCCAAAATCCATTCTAGAACACCGACATTCCCATGGGAGGGAACCCAGAAAACGCTCAGCCCTCCCTCCCCAAAATCAGCTCTAGAAAACTCCACATTAAAACTCCCACTGACATTCCCATGGGAGGGATCCCAGAAGATGCTCAGCCCTCTCTCCCCAGAATCTGCCTAGAAAACTCCACAGTACAACTCTCACCAACATTCCCATGGGAGGGAGCCCTGAAGATGCTCAGCTCTCCCCAAAATCCATTCCAGAACACCAACATTCCCATGGGAGAAACCCCAGAAGATGCTGCAGCCCTCCCTCCCCAAAACCCACTCTAGAAAACTCCCCATTAAAACTCCCACTGACATTCCCACGGGAGGGACCCCAGAAGATGCTGCAGCACTCCCTCCCCAAAACCTGCTCCAGAATCCACAGCAAAACTCCCACCAACATTCCCATGGGAACAGCAGCAAGCCCTGCTCCTCCAGGGTGGTGATTTATGGCTAAACCCCAACATTTTGGGCAATTCCAGGTGCCTGCCGGGATATCCAGGCGGATCCAAATGCCTCCCACATCCCTGTTCCCAAGGACGCCCACCTGTGGGGTTGCCCTCAGGTACAGGAAGCCATGGAGGGTGGCACGGGGGCCCAGGTGCTGCAGCAGGAAGCCGTGCCAGTCCTGGTAAATGGCCCATTCCAGAGGATTCAGGTGCCCAACCTCAAAGAGGTTCTTGGCAAAGATGTACCTGGAAGGGACGGGGAGAGGGGACCGTTGGCAGCAAGATCTCCGAGTCATCTCCACGCCCAGGGGGCTTCACAGATATTCTTCCACCTTTTATCCACCAATCAGGAATTGCAGGTGGTTAAATTAGGGCGAAAATCCCTAATTTGGGACTGGACTGTGCAGTGTCCAGCACAGTTCAGCCCCACCGAGCTCAGCACCACCCACAGGGCTTCACGCTGCCACCAAACGCAGGTGAGGGTGGGGTAGATGAGACATCAGACACAGATGAGGATGGAACCCCCCAAAAATTATCCAGAGGATACAGAACCCCCAAATTGTCCAAGAATCACATTCCTGTAGTTAAGCATCGCTCCAGGTGTCAACTGGGATGGCGGCTCTGCCCACCTGGGGGTCCCAGGCTCCCAACCAAACTGCTGTGGATGCTCCATATCCCATTTAATCCCTTCATCCCTCCTCCCTCCCATTTTTTGGGTACCTGTCGCTGTACACGGAGCGCTCAAAGACCCTCACGGGGTGGGGGGTCCCGGGGGGCTCCTCCTGCAGCTCCAGCATCGCCTTCAGCCGGCTCATGCAGGAGAAGGTCTGGAAGGTGTAGGACCACCGGGCCGGCTCCTGGTACATCATCTGGAGGAGGTTGGTGGAGCCCGTGGATTCCTACAGAGGGAGAGCTGCGAGATGAGGGCTGGGGGCCCCAGTGGCTCTGCTCCCCCTGCCAAGGGGTGGGGGTGGCTCCGGACCCCCCGGGCTGTGCTGGGGCAGGGGGGCCAGGGGACAGCACCCACTGACCCGGCCTGTGATGAGAACAGTGATGGAGTCACCTTCAGTACCTCTCTGTGCCACCTCCAGTTCCCTCTCCAAATTAAGTTTGCATTGAGCAGGAAGGGAAGGAAAACTTGGAGAGGTCAGCACGTCTCCTTTGAGCTCCCCCCTAAAAGCATCCCAGCACATGGTAAAGATTTAGCAATGTACCACCAGGGACAAAGCTGGGCTAGCAACTAGAGCAGGGATCAGCAATCTTCCCAGGGCTTTCCAAACTGCTCTGTTTTTCAACCAGAGCAGAGGTGACACCTGCTAATGAGCAGGATCTTGCCTTGGCTCTGGCTTCAGGCAGAACTGCCCAGGAACTGAGGGTCCCTGTGGAAATGTCCTCCTGGACTTGCTACAAGACACTCAAACACATCCACACCAACATGTCTCTGCTCTGGGGACGAGAGCTGGAGGCAGAGAATCAGCACCACGGGAGGCCAGGCTCATCCCACCTCCCAAATCCCCCCGGGGAGGGTGGAGAGCCAGGGGCACCCACAGTGTCGGGCTGGGATTTGGACTCACAACTCCTGGCCTGGCTCAGGCTGAGGATTTAGGGAATTGAGGGGCTTTGGGACACCAAAAGCCCAAAAATGGGGGCAGAGAGAGAGAAAACCACAGGGAGAGGCATCTCCAAACACGGAATTCCAGGGATCCCAGGGAGCTGAGGCCGGGAGGAGGCGATGCACTGACCCAGGGCCTTTCCAGCAGTGCCAAATTCCCACCCCAGCTCCGGGGTGTCCCCACGGCAGAGCTCCCACACCCACCTCCCCAGGGTGCCAGGATGGAGCCGGGATGGAGCTGGAGCTGCTGTTACCTGGGCAGTGCCCCCGGCCGGCACCTTCCGCCACTGTGCCACGGGCTCTGTCACCAGGTGCCATCGCGGGAAGGTGGCTCCGAGCAGCTTCAGGAAGGTCGATTTCCCCACGGCTGTGGGAGGGGGGAGGAGAGCAGGGTGAGCCTGGGTGTCCATCCCTTCCTGGCTCCTGGGATGTGGGGTGAGTTTGGGTGTTCCTTCGTCCCAGCTCCCAGTAACGCAGGGTGAGCCTGGGTGTTCCCCCATCCTGGCTCCTGGGAATGTGGGGTGAGCTTGGATGTCCCCTGTGCTGGCTCACGGTGACACAGGTTGAGCCTGGCTGTCCCCCATCTCAGCTCCTGGGAATGTGGGGTGAGCCTGGGTGTCCCACACACAAGGTCCTGGTAACACAGGGTGAGCCTGGGTGTCCCCCACACCAGCTCCTGGGAAAAAATGGGATGAGGCCGGGGGTGCCCCTGCTCTGACTCCCAGGACCGTGGGATGAGCTTGGTGTTCCCCCCACCAAATACCAGGGCCATGGGATGAGCCGGGGTGTCCCCTGTCCCAGATCCCAGTAACACGGGGTGAGCTTGGATGTCCCCCCATCCCGGCTCCGAGTAGCGTGGGGTGAGCCTGGGTGTCCCCCTGCTCGGACTCCCAGGAACGCGGGATGAGCCCGAACGCTGCCCCATCCCGGCTCCCGGGAACGCAGGGTGAGCCTGGGCGACCCCCCGCTCCACATCCCAGAGCCACGGGGTGAGCCCGGGGGTCCTCTGTCCCGACTCCCAGCAAACACAGGGGTAGCCCGGGGGCTCCCACCCCGTCTCCCCGCAACGCGCGGTTTGACCCCCCCCCCAGCAATAACAATTAATTAACTGCAGCCATTAACGGGCACCCCGGGACGCTCCGGGCTGTGCCCCCCCCGCTCCTCCATCACCCCCCAAATCCTCCTGTCCCCCCGTACCGATGTTCCCCTCCAGGGCCAGGCGCAGGGCGGCCCCGCACCGCCCCATTCCCGCTTCCGCCTTTCCCGCGTCACATGCTAATGACATGCTAATGAGCGGGGCGCGTGACGTCATCGCGCGGGAAGTGGGCGGGGGGGACGAAAGGCGGGAGAGGAAACGGGCGGGGAGGGGGAGGGAGGGGGGAAGGGAAGGGGGGAAGGAAACAGACACGGAAAGGGGGGGGGTGTAATTTATGTAAATGAGACTCCGCCCACCACATGAGCGGCCAATGAGGGAGAGGGTGGGGCACAAAAATGGGGGTGGGTGTAGCGCTGTGGGGTCGGGGGCACCAACATGGGGGCAAGGGCATCGTCAGGGTTTGGGGGCACCAACAAGGGCCCGAGGGTATTGACAGAGGGTTGGAGTCACCTCCGTGGGGTTAGGGACAGTTACGTGGGGCTGGGGTCACCAACACAGGGTTGGGGTCACCAAATGGGGGTTAAGGACATCAGCATGGGGCTGGGGTCATCAACATGGGGTTGGGGTCACCAACACGGGGTCAAGGGCGTCGAGACACTGGGTTGGGGTCACCAACAAGGGGCTGGAGTCACGTGCATGGGGTCAAGGGCATCAACAGGGGTTTGGGGTCACCAACAAGGGGTCGAGGTCACCTACGTGGGGTCAAGGGCCTCAACATGGTGTTGGAGGCATCAGTACAAGGCTGGGGACACCCAATGTAACACTGGGGGCACCAACACGGGGTCGAGGGCACTGACACAGGGTTGGGGGCATCAAGGCAGAGTCAAGGCCATCAGCATGACCTCATGGACACCACCATGAGGTTGGGGGTCCCCCAGCCCTCCTCCCCTTGTTACTCTCAGTTCCCCCCGATGCCCTTGTCACCCCCCACCCCCAAATCTCCCAGAGAAGGGGCAGACCCTGGAGAAAAGGCTTTTTAATGCGCAGTGGGGGGGAGGGAGGAGCAGCAGGGGCTGAGGAGGAGGAGTGGGGCTCCCCAGCCCAGGCCAGGGTGGCCACCACGGGGTGGAGAGGGGGCTTAGAAGCATTTTCGGTGGACGATGGAGGGTCCGGCCTCGTCGTACTCGGGTTTGCTGATCCACATCTGCTGGAAGGTGGAGAGGGACGCCAGGATGGAGCCGCCGATCCACACCGAGTACTTGCGCTCCGGGGGGGCGATGATCTGTGGGGACAGGAGACATCAGGGTGCACCCCTGGATCCAACCCCCCAAACCAGCACTGGGACAGGACTCATGGAGCCACTGAGGTTGGAAAAGACCTCTGAGATCATCGAGTCCAACCTGTGACCCAACCCCACCTTGTCCCCCCCACCATGGCACTGATGCCACATCCAGGCTCTGCTCAAACCCCTCCAGGGACGGGGACTCCCCCCCCTCCCTGGGCAGCCCATTCCAAGGGCTGATCCCTCTCTCTGGGAAGAACTTCTTCCCCAGGGCCAACCTAAACCTGCCCTGGGGCAGCTCCAGGCTGTGCCCTCTTGTCCCACTGCTGGTTCCTGGGAGCAGAGCCCGACCCCCCCGGCTCCCCCCTCCTGGCAGGGAGTTGCAGAGAGTGAGAAGGTCTCCCCTGAGCCTCCTCCTCTCCAGGCTGAGCCCCCCCAGCTCCCTCAGCCTCTCCTCACAGCACTTGTGCTCCACACCCTTCCCCAGCCTCGTTGCCCTTCTCTGGCCCTGCTCCAGCCCCTCCACATCCTTCCCAACCTGAGGGCCCAGAGCTGGGCACAGCACTCCAGGGGTGGCCTCCCCAGTGCCCAGGGCAGGGGCACAATCCCTGCCCTGCTCCTGCTGCCACACTATTCCTGAGCCAGGCCAGGCTCCATTGGCCTCTTGCCCCCCTGGGCCCCCCTGGCTCCTGTTCAGCTGCTGTCAGTCAGTCCCCCCAGGGCCCTTTCTGTCCCCCCACTCTGGCCCAGCCCGTGGGGCTGCCGGGGGTTGTTGTGGCCAAAGGGCAGGACCCGGCCCTTGGCCTTGGGGAACCTCAGCCCGTTGTGTTGGTGGCCACAATTTGCCCCCCCAGGACCTACTTTGATCTTCATGGTGCTGGGGGCCAGTGCCGTGATCTCCTTCTGCATGCGGTCGGCGATGCCGGGGTACATGGTGGTGCCGCCCGACAGCACGTTGTTGGCGTAGAGGTCCTTGCGGATGTCGATGTCACACTTCATGATGGAGTTGTAGGTGGTCTCGTGGATCCCGGCCGATTCCATGCCTGGGGGTGGGAGGGGGCTGTGTCAGCACCCTGACTCCCCCCCACGCCTGTCTCCTCCGGGCATCCCAAAAGAGCCATCCATGGGTTTGTCCCACCGTTTAGGGGAGCCCCAAAACGCCTCTACGGGGCACCCACAGGTGCTGTTTGGGGTTTATCCCACCATTTGGGGTGCAAAGCGCTTGGGAAAGCCCCAAAATGCCTCTGCAGGGCACCCAGAGTTGCTGTTTGGGCAGGTGGGGATCCAGAGTGACCACCAGGAATTGGGGGGTGGGCTCACCAATGAAAGAGGGCTGGAAGAGGGTCTCGGGGCAGCGGAAGCGCTCGTTGCCGATGGTGATGACCTGCCCGTCGGGGAGCTCGTAGCTCTTCTCCAGCGAGGAGGAGGAGGCGGCCGTGGCCATCTCGTTCTCGAAGTCCAGGGCCACGTAGCAGAGCTTCTCCTTGATGTCCCGCACGATTTCCCGCTCGGCTGCAGGAGGTGACGGCCAAGGGGCTCAACCCGGTGCCACCGCGGCACCGCAGGGTCCCTGTGACCCCATAACGCCCCTCCCTGACCCCATACCGGTGGTGACGAAGGAGTAGCCCCTCTCGGTGAGGATCTTCATGAGGTAGTCGGTGAGGTCCCGCCCGGCCAGGTCCAGGCGCATGATGGCGTGGGGCAGCGCGTAGCCCTCGTAGATGGGCACGTTGTGGGTGACGCCGTCCCCGGAGTCCAGGACGATGCCTGGGGAGGGAAGGGAGGTGAGGGAGGGGGCTCCAAGGTGGTTTGGTGCCTTCCCCATCACAGATGAACCCCAGGGAAACGCGTGTCTGACTCACCGGTCGTGCGGCCGGAGGCGTAGAGGGAGAGGACGGCCTGGATGGCGACGTACATGGCGGGGACATTGAAGGTTTCAAACATGATCTGGGAGGGAGAGAGAGAGGGTTGGGGGGAGCACGGGGGTCCCACCCTGACCCACAGGGGCTGTGCCTTCCCGGGGTCAGGGCACTGCACGGAAAAACACAGAGATGGTTGGATGGCACGGACGTGTGGGGCAGTGCAAGGCATGGAAAAACACAGGGATTGTTGCGTTGCATGGAAAAACAGGTGGATGGTTGGGTTGCATGGACATGGGGGTCAGTGCATTGAACACAACAAGTGGATCATGGAAAATGCGTGGAAAACATGTGAGTGGGTGTGTGGTGTGGGAAAACGTGGGTCAACACATCCCATGGAAATGTGAGTCACTGCATTAGAGTCATGTGGGGCTGTGCATGGCATGGACAACACGTGGGGCAGCGCCTTGCGTGGCAAATCCCACAGGGCCACGCTCTGGAGAGACCCCTGGGGCTACATAAGCAAGTGAACTTCCCACCAGGATCTCTGCCCTTATCCCACACCCAACTGCCCCCACCGCCTGCTCCTCCACCCCACCCAACCCCCAGACCCCCCAGACCTTCCTGCGGATTCCGAGGGTCCATCCCCACCCCCGGGGGACCCTCAGCACCTCACCTGCGTCATCTTCTCCCGGTTGGCCTTGGGGTTGAGGGGGGCCTCGGTGAGCAGGGTCGGGTGCTCCTCGGGGGCCACGCGCAGCTCGTTGTAGAAGGAATGGTGCCAGATCTACGGCAGGCAAAGGACAATTGGGGCCTCACCCAAGCTGGGGCTGGCGCCCTCTCCCCATCCCAGGGCCGGGGGTCTCACCTTCTCCATGTCATCCCAGTTGGTGATGATGCCGTGCTCAATGGGGTACTTGAGCGTGAGGATGCCCCTCTTGCTCTGCGCCTCGTCGCCCACGTAACTGTCCTTCTGCCCCATGCCCACCATGACACCCTAACGCCAGCAGGAGAGACGAGGCCTCGTTACCCTCATTGCAGGGCTTGGAGCAGGGTGGGGGCTGCCCCTCACCCCCCTGGGTACCCACCTGGTGCCGGGGCCGCCCCACGATGGAGGGGAAGACGGCGCGCGGGGCGTCGTCGCCGGCGAAGCCGGCCTTGCAGAGGCCGGAGCCATTGTCACAGACCAGGGCAGTGGTTTCCTCCTCGCACATGGTGGGGCTGGGAGTGGTTGGTGCTCGGGGGGACCTGGGGGAAAAGCTGGGGCCGGGGGGAAATGGCGTTAAGGGTGAACGGGGGAGGGGGCTGTCCCGCGGCACTGCATACAGCTTTGGGTTTGGAAGGGTTGGAGTCCTTGGGAATGGGCAGTCTCACAAAGTCCTCTGTGGGCTGTGCCGAGGGCTGGCCACCCAGTCTGACCCCAGTGTGGGGATGCTGGGAGTGGGGTGATGCTCATTCCCCATGTGCTGCTCCACGCTGGTGCTGCTCCTCCATCCTTCTCCAGCTGGTGCCCAAAATCGGTGCCAAAGCCCCCCCGGGGAGCTCCAGTGTTGCCAAGCCTAGCTGGTGCCCCCCAAAAGCGGGCAGAGGGGTGTCAGCTGATGCCCCCTCATCCGGTTCTGTCTCAGCAGCCTCCTGCTGCATCTGCTCCCAATAATGGGAAAAACCCCAGCCCTTCCTGGGGGCTCCCCCCCCTACACTGGGGGATGTGCCCCCAAATCCAGAGGGAAGCAGCAAAAACCTTGCAGGAGCCCAGAAAGCAAAAAATCCCAAATCCCAGGGATTTCTGGAAGAGCACAACCTGCCTTGGGCCTCAGCCCAGAAAGCAAAAAATCCCAAATCCCAGGGATTTCTGGAAGAGCACAACCCGCCTTGGCTGCAGCCCAGCTCTTGTCACCTCTGGGAAGCCCCCGGGGTTGGCACCCCCTCTGTGCCATGCAGACTGAGCTGGGGCCGCCCCATGAAGGCTGGGGCACCCCAAACCCCCCCCGGGGTGTTATTCCTTCCCCTCTCCTCCCAGGAGCTGGGAAGCAGGGCAGGGCAGGGCAGTACTCACCGCAGAGGCGAGAGCTCCTTTCCTCTGGGACCGAGCCCCGCTGTGCCGTGGGTATAAATACCAGCGAGCCCGAGGAACCTCAGAGGCGGATCCTCTCTAAACAAAGACCCTAAATAGGCTCAGTGATGGTGTGTTGGCCATATGGCCATATAAGGTGTTTTATTTCATTAAATTGACCTCGGGCTGGTGGTAGGACCCAGCAGTTTAATTATTGTAGGAAAAATGTATGTGGGGATGCTTTGGGAGGCAACGGCCCAGTTGGGAGTCTGTTCCTTTTATGCTCCGCTCCGATAAACAAGTGAGACACAAGTCCTTATAAGTGACAGGCTCGGAAAAGGGAGGTGGAAGTAACTCCAGTTCCTGGGGAGAACATGGAGAAACCCCACCCGGGGGGAGGTGGGTGTGGGGGCTCCACCGTGGGGACACCCCGGAGCTGGGGTGGGAATTTGGCACTGCTGGAAAGGCCCTGGGTCAGTGCATCGCCTCCTCCCAGCCTCAGCTCCCCGGGATCTCTGGAATTCTGCGCTTTGGAGATGCCTCTCCTTGTGGTTTTCTCTCTCTCCACCCCCATTTTTGGGCTTTTGGTGTCCCAAAGCCCCTCAATTCCCTAAATCCTCAGCCTGAGCCAGGCCAGGAGTTGTGAGTCCGAATCCCAGCCCCACACTGTGGGTGCCCCCGGGAGGATCTGGGAGGTGGGATGAGCCTGGAGCTCCACGGGGCTCTGTGGGTGTTGGCCCCTGGCCCCCCTGCCTGGACACAGCCCGGGGGGGCCGCAGCCACCCCCAGCCCTTGGCAGTGGGAGTGGAACCGCCAGGCCCGTGGCCCTGGCAGAGGCCAACCAGCAGCTCCCAAACTCCTGCTGCCTTTTTAAGGGCAACGGGCCCACACTGGGAGCTCTCTGGAACATCCAGGGGAGGCAGGAGAGGTGCCCAGGAACCACCACCCAGAGCTCGGGGAGCTCGGGGGGCACAAGGGGAAACTGAGGCCGGGGGGCCCGGGATGCTCCCTGTGCTCAGGGACATCCCAGCACTGGAGCAGGGGAAGGAGCTGCAGGTCCCACCACCACCAAGGGATCCAAAGGTCCTGTCCCCCATGGTCCTGCAGGGAGAGGACTCTGGGCTGTCACCCTGTGGGGCAGGGCAGGGACACAACGTTCCTCCAGCTTGTTCATAACTTTAACATCCCGTAGGGATGGTTCTGTCTTGGAAGGAGGGAGCAGAATCTGGGCTGTCACCCCATGGACACGGTGTCCCCCCAGCACTCCAGACTGTTCACACCTCCAGTGTCCCCCAGGGATGGCTCTGTTCTGGGGGGAAGGAGCAGAATCTGGGCTGTCACTCCATGGAACACGGTGTCCCCCCAGCACTCCAGACCCTTTACACCTCTAACATTGCCCAGGGATGGCTCTGTCCTGGAAGGAGGGAGCAGACTCAGGGCTGTCACTCCATGGGACACAGTGTCTCCCCACCACTCCCAGCCTGTTCACACCTCCAATGTCCCCCAGGGATGGCTCTGTCCTGGTTATTCCCTTTCCCTGGGGAATCTCAGGCTGGATTTGTCCCCTGGCCATGTACTTGGTGTCCCCCCCAAACCCTCTGCCCCGGGGTCCTTCTGCTGCCTCACATCCCACCCCGGATCCCTTGGGACCCTGCCAGACATGAGGTCACCGAGGAGAAAGGCTGTTAAAAAAAAAACCCCAAACCACCTTACAAAAAATTAACCCCAAACCCAGCAGTGGGGGTGGGAAAAGGGGTTGGATGGAGGCAGAGGCTGGAGAGAACCAACACGGAGAGGGTACGGCTGTGCCAGGGGCCGGTGGCAGGACCCCATCGCATTCCAAGGCGGGGGGACAAACCCAAAACCTCAGAGACACCCCTGGATCCCGGGCTGGCACAAGCGCGGAGCATCAACCCCTGGCCCCGCTCGGCAGCTCCGAGTCCCATCGCTCCTCCACCGCGGGATTTGTGGGCACACGCGGGTCGGCCCCAGGCCGCCCATCCCTGCGGGATCCCCCATCCCTGCGGGATCCCCCATCCCTGCGGGATCCCCCATCCCTGCGGGATCCCCCATCCCTGCGGGATCCCCCATCCCTGCGGCCCGGCCCGGCGGCAGCGCAGCCCCGAGCGGAGCCCACGCGCAGCCTAAAAAGGCAACGTTGGCCCCCGCAGCCAATGGAGCCCCGGCGGGCCGGGATGCTCTCAGGAACGCCAGGCATCCCGCGGCACGGACGCGGGACGAGCAGGGGGCAAGCCCGGCTTTACCGCTGGATTTCAAAACTCCCGGCGCTCGGTCCGGCCCCCGGCACCTCCCTCAAGGGAACGGTCATGCCTGGAACCTCCCGGGATGCTGCCGGGGATGGGCAAACCGGGGAAAAGAGGCATGATCAGAGGGATCTGGGTCTGTTCCCATCCTGAAGCGGAGATAAACATCACTCCCTGCTGCAGGAACACCCCGGACACTCAATCCACTAAACCCTTCCTACAAAGCGTTTGGGGTCAACTCTTCCCAAATCCAACCCCATCATGGGTGATTTTAAGGTGGAACAGTCACATCTGGCACAGCTGGAGAGCCAGGGTGGGTTGGTGGGACCAGGTTATCGACATCCATCCCGATAAACAAACGGATGGCTCAGGGACTCCAAGTGAAAAAACGCAGCCAGGAGCTCAGGGAGCAGGGCTGGGAGTGAGGTGGGAGCTGAGCCCTGACTGAGGAACTGGGCCCTTCCTGCTCTGAGGAATGTGGAATATTCCCTGTGAAGGTTTATCTGTCACTGGGATGACACAAAAGTGCTGAAGGGCCACCAGTTCCACTCTCTGGCGGGTGCTCAAGGCAGCTCAGACCTGAGACCTGGTGGGATGTGGAGTTGGGATAAATTCCTTGGGATATTCCCCACCAAACTGAAGGAATTGCTGCTTGGAAAGATGGGATTTCCCACCTCATGTCCCTGCAATGTTCTGGGGGAGCTGCTCCGTGCTGTGGGATGAACAATCCCACACCGAACTGCAACCCCCTCCCGAGCATGGTTCAAATTAATTAGGTCTGAAAACAAGTTCCCACAGATGTCCTGAAGGCCCCCCGCTCCCCTCCCCCTCCCTGTTCCCAAAACTGGCTTTGGAAAAGCTGGGAGCAGCCCTTTGTCATGCAGGAGCTGCTGCAAACACACCCCAACCCCCAAACAAATGGATTCCCCCCCCGCCAGACCCCCCAACCCACCGGGGGAGCTCAAAGAAAACAAGTGGCACAAGAGACCCAGCCCAGATAATCTGATCCATGTGTGTTCACCGGAACACTGAGGGGTGTTGGATGCACGAGGACATGGATGTTTTCATGCCAGGTGGGAAGGCAGCTCCAGCCTCCCCCAGCCCTGCACAGCCATGTGCCGACCATCCCTCTGCAGGGTGTGGGGTGTGGGTCACGCTCAGCCCTGAGCCCAGCTGCCTTCCACCTTGGAATTCTGCTGCTTCCTACCCAGTGAGGGCGGAGGCTCGGCCTGGAGCACAGGGAAGGGAATTCTCTGCTTGGCATCCCACTAAAGCACCTCGGAGCAGGATCCGGCGGTACCGCACGGCAGCGACGTCACGGAGAGCTCGGGTTGGGCAAGGACGGGCTCCCAGCTGCTCTGGGAAGCTCAGAGGCAATCAGGCTGTGGGATCTTGGAGGATGGAAGTGGCCAGAGCAGCTGGAATTCCATCTGGGAGCAGTGATGGCAGCTGGGACACCCAGTGCTCCTCCACGCTAACACCACGGGCTGAGAGGATCCCAGAGCCAGGAAAGGGAATAAAGTCACCAGACACCCCTAAACACTGCTGGGATGAGGGAGATCCTGCAAAGCTGTGCCCCGTCCAGGCACCTTCATCCCTGAAATGGGGATCCCAAAGGAGTTGAGTCCCCTCTCTCCCTCCCCAGGCAAAGATCCGAGTACCAGGAAGCAGGAGTGGCTCAGCTCGGTGGGGCTGAGCTCATGAGGGGGGAGAGGGGTCAGGAGGGTTTAAACTACAGGAAAGGTTTATCTACTCCTGGAAGCTGCTCTGAGGCCACAGCGACCCGCAGAGAGGGACAACACGGGGCATGGGTTAATTTGGGCAAGTCCCAAAAGCACTTGAAGAGGTTTCCACATCTTGTGGTTGCAGCAAATCATGGGGAACCTCCCCAGGAGGCCGTTCCAGCCACGGGTTAGAGTGTTAAAAACTGCTTTAGTGTTGGCTCCTGCCTCTGAATTCCCAGCTGGCTTTTCCCCACACCTTGGACCTCAGCAGGCTCCAGGCACTGAGGATCCACGTGCTCCCAAGGAGGTCAGGGATGTGATTCCACTGGAAATCCCACCAGCACTGGGGGAGGGAGGGGAGGGATCTCTACACGGTGGGAATCATCTGCTACAGGAGGGACCAATCCCTAAGGCTGAGAGGAAGGCGGGAGGTTCCTGTGAGCGGATAAGGCAGGAGGATTATCGGAGATCCAGCAGGACAACATCCCTCTCCACCACTGACACGTGACTGCAGGTCTGGGAGAGAGAAAGAGAGGGGACAGGGGGTTATTCAGATGTTCCCACAGCTCAGGTGACACGACCTGCAGCCAGAGTCCTTCCCAGAACAGCCCTTGGAGCCGTTCCTTGGATCACACAGTGACCACAGCAGGACAGATCCCTCTCCCAAACACACCCCTTTGTGCTGCCTCGCCCTGTTCCTGCAGGGAGGAGCTCCCCATCACTCCTCCAAGCCCTGTAAAACGTTGGGAAGCTCCTGCACCTCCACCCTGGGAATCTGAGACCGGCCCCTGCCAGGCTGAGCCTCCTCTCCTGTCACAGCCCAGCATCCCACACGGATTTAACTCCAGTGAAGGGTCCAACACACCAGCTCCCCACCCCACAGCCCCCAGTGCCTGGGGGGACTCACCGTGAAGAGAGGGGGGTCTTTGGGGTGTGGGTGGAACCCTTTCTGGCGGCAGGACGAGATCTCCTCCAGGCCATGCTCCGTCAGCCGGAAAAACCCCGTCCTGGAGAAGGGAACACACCCAGGAGCACAAGGACCTCCTGTGGCTCCACCTCTGCAACCTCTGCAGGGACAGCCACGTCCTCTGGGCCTCAGAGCACCTTTGGGGCAGCTCACCTCGGGCAGGGGCAGAGATTGAGGCTGAGGGAGAACCCTCTGGGATGTCTGGGACATCTCTTCCTGGGAAAGCCGCCCTTTCTGGGACACCTCTCTTCCCAGGACACCCCTCTGTCTGGGACACCCCTCTGTCTGGGACACCCCTCTTCCTGAGACACCCCTCTGTCTGGGACACCCCTCTGTCTGGGACACCCCTCTTCCTGAGACACCCTTCTGTCTGGGACACCCCTCTTCCCAGGACACCCCCATCTGAGAGATCCCCTTCTTGGGACATCACTGCCTGGGACACCTCCTTTCCTGGGACATCCCCATTCCCAGGACACCCCTCTTCCTGGGATACCTCTCCTCCTGGGACACTCCTCTTCCCACCCCCAGGGCTGCAGATCACCCTCCTGTCACAGGTGGGCAACCACTGCCCAGATCCAACCCCCTGATCCTGATCCTGATCCTGATCCAGCCCAGAAGAGCTGTGCAGTCCCACGTGTGTGACCTGGCATTTTATCTCCACACCAGGAATCCGATAGAGGAAGGGTGTGGTTAAACAGCCCAGGCAGAAGGAAAGGCCTTCCCCACCCCACATCCTGGTGTCCACACTCACTCCTGGTGTCCACCCACATTCCTGGGTGTCCATACTCACTCCTGGTACTTGGGAGAGCACACGATGGCGATGGACTCCGGCAGCATCAGCTGGTAGGAGCAGTGGGTGTGCAGGTCCACGCTGGACAGGAAGGCTGTCTGTGTGGGATGGGTCTGGAACAGGCAACACACGGACAGGAGTCACAGCAGGCTTGGCAAAATGGTTCCAAGGGATTGTGTCTGCCAAAGGAAGGCTGTGACAGAGGAGACACAGCTCCTGGGATGGCACAGGGGACACACTAAGAGGGGTTTGTGTAGAATCCCAGAATGGTTTGGGTTGGGAGTGACCCTAAATACCATCCCATTCCATCCAGGGACACCTTCCACTAGCCCAGGCTGCTCCAAGCCCCATCCAACCTGGCCTTGGACACTTCCAGGGACCCAGGGGCAGCCACAGCTCCTCTGGGAATTCCATCCCAGCCCCTCACCACCCTCACAGCCAAGAATTTATTCCCAATATCCCATCTAACCCTGCCCTCTGGCAGTGGGAAGCCATTCCCCCTTGTCCTATCACATCATTCCATGCTCTTGCCAAAATTCCCTCTCCAGCTCTCTTGTAGCCCCCCTTTTATTTTGGACTGTCTTAAAACACCTGCTCCTCTTTTCCATTTGAAGTACAAAAGGAGCTCTACATTCCTGTCCCATGGCATGAAAAAGTCCTGCTTTCAGGCCCAACACTGTCCTTGCAGGGAATTCACACCTTTCTCAAGTGCAGCAGCACCAGCACAGCCCATCCTGCCCTGGCACTACAGGATATCCCATTCCAGAGGGCTGTATGATCCCTGACAGCCACCACCTCACCCAGCTCCTGCCTGCAGCTGGATTTCACTGGATTTCCTTCTGCTGGAAGCTCCTGCTCCTTCTGCTGGTGAGGTTTTTGTTGCCAAGGCCAGCAGAAGGGGCACAGGAATTCCGGAGGGTCCCTGGGTGTGACAGGGCTGGCAGGGCAGAGCTGCCCCCTCGGGGATCAGGCACAGGCAGCACATTCCCCTGTCCAAGGCTGTGAGGCAGCAGCTGCTTTCGAGAGATTACTCAGCAGCTCCAAACATTTTCCTTGGCACGGATCCGACTGCCAAGGGCTCCGTGGGGACAGCAGGGAATTGCTGCAGCCAGGGAGGACTCTGGAACTGGCACATCCCACGGCACAGCTGCCTCAACAGCAGCACCACTCCAGGGACACAGCATGGGAGAGGTGTCCCTGCAGCAGGAGGCTTGGGATGCCCTGACGGGGCCTCTGGAGTTGGATTTTAGCTGGAGGATACATGAGCTGCATGTCCAGGACCCCCCTTGCACAGATCCAGACTGGTCTGTGTTGGAAGGGATCTCAAAGATCAGCCAGTTCCACCCCCTGCCATGGGCAGGGACACCTTCCACTAGCCCAGGCTGCTCCAACCTGGCCTTGGACACTTCCAGGGATCCAGGGGCAGCCACAGCTTCTCTGGGCAACCTGTGCCAGGGCCTCGCCACCCTCACAGCCAAGAATGTCTTCTTAATATCTAATCTAGCCCTGCCCTCTGGCAGTGGGAAGCCATTCCCCCTTGTCCTGTCCCTCCATCCCTTGTCCCAAGTCCCTCTCCAGCTCTGGAGCCCCTTTAGGCCCTGGAAGGGGCTCTAAGGTTTTCTCTGGGCAACTTGTGCCAGGGCCTTCCCACCTTCCCAGGGAAGAATTTCTTCCCAATATCCCATCTAACCCTGCCCTCTCTCCTTTCCAAAGGGCCTGATGCTTTGGGAAGGGACTCAAATGTAAAACAGGCCAGGATTTCTCCAGTAGAGTAGTGAATCAGACTGTACCAGAGGGAGAAACCCAACTAGAGAGAGAAATCAAATCAGAGGGAGAAATCCAACTGGGGGGAGAAACTCAACCAGGGGGAGAAATCCACCCAGAGGCAAGAGATCCAACCAGAGGGAGAAACCAAACCAGAGGTGAGAAACCCACCCAGAGGCTGCTGCCCACTCCACACCATCTCCTCCTGTAACTCCTCCTCCCCCAGCCCTGCTCCCCCAGCCCTTTCCCTCCAGGCTGAAGGCAGGGGCAGGAGGCACTCACGTGGATCCAGCCCAGGGTGACGAGGCCGTGCTGGTCCTGGATCAGGAACAGCTCCTCCTCGTTCTCGGTGTTGCAGTAGTCGGGGCCCCCGTGCTGCTTGGGCACGATCACGTGGGTTATGGTGAACTCATTCCTCATCTGCAGGGCAGGGGCAGCACAGGGGGATCAGAGGGAGCACAGGCACCCCCAGGCACCCCTCAGCAGGAAACAGGGAGCCGAGAGAATTCCTTAAGTTTTGGGAACTTCTCCTCAAGAAGCCCATGCACCACGCAGGTGCAACTCCCAGTTACTGACAAAGGAGTCGCGGGGTTTTCTTCCTATTTCATTTT